TTTAATAGCCTCCACATGTGATGCTGTTATTATTTTCGAAGCCGCGTATTGCTGTGGTGAATCTTCATGTAGGTTAGGMATGCCTAACCCCCCCTGAGCCGGATTTGACATAAATTAGCTACAGAGGCAAATAATGGTGGGAGGGGAGGAGGGAGGGGACGATTTTGTACATTCTCTTTTATCTCGTAAGAACTAGTAAGAACTTTGAGTTCGTGGACCGGCACGTTTTCAAAGACGCGATCCTGTTTTATTTCATTGTGATAATATTTGTGATGCATATGCCTTTGCGATAATGTTTAGAAATCACGTCATTAAACTATTTTAGAGTATCTTTTTCGCAATGCAGCAACAGTCTAGCTTGAGCATAATGTAGTAGCTTTACACAAAAAAATGGTAGGGTGGATTATCTGAACTACTTTCAGTAGTTTATCTTGTTAGACAAGAGTATATATTACTGCTGACCTCATGAGTTCAGTAAAGTTTGTTCTTTGCTTTTCGTTTGGATTTGAGGCATTGACAATGCTGTTTATTTTCGTGGGAATTCCTGGTAACTACAATTTTTCTTCTACTCTATGAAGCAAGAAATGTAATCAGACGTGCTTTGCCGCATTGCTCCTACGCAAACCTTAATGAGGTAAGCTCGGCCAGTCTGTTGACTTCCGCTTTTCGCGCCTGATATCTTGCCTTTGTATGTGTTGACGTGATTTCATTATCGCAAAGGCATATGTATCACAAATATTATCACAATGAAATAAAACAGGATCGCGTCTTTGAAAACGTGCCGGTCCACGAACTCAAAGTTCTTACTAGTTCTTACGAGATAAAAGAGAATGTACAAAATCGTCCCCTCCCTCYTCCCCTCCCACCATTATTTGCCTCTGTAGTTAATTTATGTCAAATATGCAAGAATGCGGTCAACCGAAACTTGTCCGATCTGCCGAAGRCAATCGAATATGAATTCATTAGCCTGGAAAGAAATTTAGATTTCGATGCAAACTTCGACTTGTCTTGATTTGACTTCGGTATATTGAAACCAAATATCTTTGAGGCTGGAAAAAGAGCCATGGATAACGTCAAGGGCTAACSTCTTTGGAGAACACAATCGTTTTCAGAATTTCAAGCGTTTTATACGTGGAAGTAACATTTTATTATTATTATGTTTTTGCAATATTTCAAGCGCTTTTAGTACTATACCTAAACTAAAAATACGTGGCTTGGATAATACCTAACACTTTGAAATTCCTACAGCAAAACAAGCATGAATTGAATTAGAATTCCTGAAAATATGAAAGGAATCCAATGTATATCTGTCGTTTTGAATTTTTTTACTTTTGAATGTTTTTAAATCGGCTTTGTAGCGACGGTCTCAGTCGGCGGATTTTTGTAATTTTTCAAACATAGAATGCTGATTATCTGTACATTAAGACTTTGAAATTTAAAGGAAATCGATGGATTTTTGCGCGCACAAAAAGGCAAAGAATTTTAAGACTACTGTTTTGAATATCGACTTGTGTCGGCAATCGCGGCATCAGATTAAAACCTTAGATACAACACCAGAAGGTTTAAGGATTCAACTATCACATATGTGAAAATCAGAACTATACCAGCATTTTTGATGCGAAGCGAGCGATTTTAAAAAAGGACAAATTTCACTCGCCGTTAGTTGGGAGTAACCTTAACCCAAGGTTATACCATTTCATTCTTCAACAAGTAATTGATTAGGTTCGAACGTCACAGTCTAGTATCGAATATGTGTTGAAAGTCTTATTCAAGTTAAACTTCTGGAGTATATCTGCTTAAAATTAAATATGGTTAAAAATCATACAGGGTGACTGACTTGGAGAAGATAAAATGGCGACTGAAATGTGGTCAAAACCATACTTTGTCGTTGGTTTATCTTAGGAAACAAGATGCTCAGGTTCCTGTTCTTATAGCCATGTAAATTGGATGTGATTTGTACTTTATGACAACATTTTGTTTTGAAATCGCTTGCAATTAAAGCGGCAAGATTCACACAGCCTTAATGCGATAATTGTTAAATTCGCGCTTTTTGACATTTTTCATCTTGAAATATTATTAAATCTAGTGAAAATACCAATGCGAACCAAGCAGAAATGATTATAATCGTATGTATTTATAATGTTTTATGAATGATCTTTAATTCAAAAATTGGCGAAGATGGATATTTTGGCCTTTCAAGATTGTAAGCATTGTTTACATGGTCATTATGTTTTGGTCAAAACTCGTGAATTTTGAAATATACGAGCATGAAATCAGATGTATTTACATGTTACTCAAAAGGCCATACATGATATATCAGCGATCGGACAATTGTTTTGCTATTTATGAAGAATCAAATACATGATAAATATGCTAATGTGGTTACTATCATTAATAATTATATATCTGACTTGTGTGAGAAAATACCACACTTATTTCATTTGATTTGATGTCCTTTGTTTCTTTGCTTATGATATATCAAATTTGAATTTCTTAAAAAATTGGCTAAGGTTGGTAAATTTGCAATATTGTACCATATGATGCTTTGTTTTGCCTGTCATAAATATGAAATAAAACTCATATCCAATTGTTAAAGCTTGTTTTTAGCTACAGACAGGGGCTATTTCAGCTGGTGGTGCAGGGAGTTTGCAATAACCCCCTTGCCCTCTCGAGATTTAGTATGCTTCCTTTTATTTGTGTCTTCTTTGTCATGGTTTCTTGGAGAGCTCCCTGGCTGAGTGCCCTGCACCCCTCCCTGGAAATAATGTAATCTTCACACAGTGCTTTATTGCATGTAACATCGAGTACAACAAATCTGCAACATTTCTTTTGATTTCATGTATTGTCATCTGATCTTCTTATCTTATAAAACAGGTGGGGAAGGGGGCTATAGCTCCCCAATATATTGCTCAGAAAACAAATTTTGAAATAGTATTAACGTTTTTTTTGATGGAATCCGCTAATTTTTCAAATGCTATCCGAACTCGACTGCTCCTCAGTCCCTGATTATTATACTTTATGTTTTATCAAGCGCCACAAATACGCGCGTCCACCCCTAGACGTTTGATTGTTACAAACTAGATCTTTCAGCTATGTTATTGCAGATCGATAAAGTTCTTTTTATTATTTTTTTTGTATTGTTGTTGTTGCATATTTTATTACATGTTCAATTTCTTTATTACGCCCGCAAATAACGATGGAACCAAAAATATAGAGAAATAAAGGAATGCACGATAACTTTTCGCCGTCGTGTAACAAATGAATGAGCGGGTAGCCTGTTGTGAGCCTGCAAGTAACAAAGCGACAATACAGCTGCTCGCAMATGGTCATGCAAAATGGCCCCTTGTTTACCAGATCGAAGGTTGGGTTTCCCGTCGCGTGTCATAACCGATAAAACTGCTTCTACGATGTACGGCGAGCAAAAAATGTCCTTAAAATTCTATTCTTTGATTTAAATTGCACAAATGGAAARGTTTTAAAAGGGTTTTCGCTTTGAGTGCGTGTTGACAGTTAGAAAGGGTCAGGGAAACGTACAAGAAGCTTCTTGTTTAACTCGGCGATTGCGTGAAGTCTACATGAAGCTTCTTGTTTATCTTRRCTTCTCGTAAGAAATCTAAAAAGTCGAGAATCGCAATAAGTTAAAACCCTGTATTCAAATGAAGGCGTTAATTGTACGTTTTCACTGGGTTTTTGCTTTGATTGCGAATGACGTGGCCTTTAGTCCGTATGTCCATACGGTTCTTGCATTGTTTATTTTAGCCAATAAACTTCGGATAAATTTCACAATTTCACAACCATTGTGCTATTTTTTCGCAAAAAAATCATCCTACAATCTCCGAGTTAGCCGTTGCCATTGGCAGCTTGATTTAATTTTCACATTTTCAGCGCAACTAGAGCTCTTGGACTTCCTGTGGTGAAGCATTTCAATAGAAACTGTTCCTTTTTCGCCAAATTTGCTCTATATTATCATATTTCTGTTTTATAAACTTCTATTTAGTACGTGTATGACTTTTAAAGAAGTGTTTGTAATTTTTCTTAAAAGATAATAGCATTCTTTTGTTTTTGATAAATGAACCGGGCCTATAATTGCATTCTTACCAACAACATTTATAGGTCTTCTGTGCGGAAGGACTCCAAAAGTGTACTGAAATATGCCACGACCATAAAACAAACAAGGGGCGAAGGCTACCATTTTTTGGATCTTCGCTTGAATTTTTCTCAGCATCGATCCTCTTGGATTGCCGACTTGATAAAATACATCATTTTCTCCAAAAGCATATGTTGGGATTAAAGAGGATCTGAAAATATAAATACGATAAATATCTATAAACATGCAAACATAATATTGTTGAGTGACCGGCAGTCCGCCGTGTTTTGAGATTTTTCTCGAATAGAGAAATGTCTCTACACAATGAAAGTTTTATAGCGGAGCTCCCTCGCGAGCCTTGCGGAGCACCATAGCTAAGAAAAAATGGTATATCCATCAAGTTGATTTTCGATGGACCGACATAGGGTTCCTGCGCRTACGYACGTTTCCTTCCGTCCGTCCTTCCTGGATTCCGTGTACCGCCACAGGAAAACCATGCTTCAAAAGCGCCAAAATATTTGCTGAAACATCGAATTTGTTTTCTCAAACAGTTATCTTCCAAATTTATAATATTAGAAAAAGTAATCACAAGAAAAAAAATCCAGAGGAGAGCGAAATCAAAGCACAGAAATATTCCCGCCAATTTTGTCATAAGTACGACGCGTCCGTATACATCCGGGAAATCGATTTGCGAAGATGAAAAGCAATTTACTTTCGTCAAGAGTTTTGAGGCTCAGTTTTTATGAATAACAGGATGACTTTTCGCTCTGACATTACGACAACAAGAAAAAGATGATGCTATATTGAAAATACTGCAAAAATATGGGGAAAAGCAACAATCTGTGTGAATTTTGTTTGTCGCTGAAACCAAGACAATAAGCAGAACTCGATTGATAGAGTTCTAAAAACACAGAGAATCAACAAAATTACAGCCTTGAATGACTTTATAAATTGATGAAACCTTTGCTTGAAACGAGTATGGTTAAGATGTCCATTGAACGATAATTTATCGGAAGTTTGAATAATAAAGGTAAAACTAGACGCTCAAAAGCGTTTASATGGGCTTCCTGTAGCAATGTTATTTACGCCTGGACGGCATGTGTGCTACGTACGCCATCTCAAAAACATCTAGCTGCATAGTGACAGTTTTAAAAATACCAGTTTTATAAATGTTTACATTACAGACATCAACAGTTAGCAAAGTTATACGAAAAGTATAACCTTCAGCAATATTTACACCAATCAATGTTGGAAACGAAGTGCAATGATTTGTAAGCTTACATAGAGAAAATCATTGTTACTCGTGACCTGGTCCTAGGCCGGGTCACGAGTCAGAAAATGCAGCGCGTATAATTTAATATAATATAGTATAATATTAAAGAATAACTGTAAAAGCTACAGTAACTCCCGAACAGTTTAACTGTTCTATGATAAAATTGTTTACAGCCGAGTTCGTAATGTGATATTTCGTTTAGAGATCGGAGGGCGATCGGCAGACCCGAAGGCAAACTTTTAACATGGAAAAAACAACAACAAATTTTACAGTAATAGTCTCCTTCACGGTTACCTGCGCCATCTTGAAAGGTAGCTGTCCCTTTGCATCGAAGCGAGACAACCGTTGAGCGTGTATTGATAGAAACCTTCTTTCACATATACAGACAATTATTCACAGATATCTATCATTGCACGCTCAACGGTTGTCTCGCTTCGATGCAAAGGCACGGCTACCTTTCAAGATGGCGCACCTAACCGTGAAGGGGACTTTAATATTCGAGTTCTTTTGTTATTCCAAAACATTCATCTGTGTAAGAGCATATATTATGACATTGGTTTAGGTCATAAAGGTTGGTGTATCGTGCCAAATAGTGCATTTTCCTTCGTAGTTGAGTGAATTCCGCAACGTGGCTATCTGATTCTGAGTTGCATAGCCTAAATTCTCAATTTGATAATTATTATAAAATAACTTTCATATTACGCACGCTCTGATTGGCCAAAAAGCCGTGTTTCGCGTCGTGCTTCGCGTCGTGGTTTCCTACGCTTCTCYCGTGTTCTCCCCACATCCCGCGTGTTTTTATCAGAGTATAATACACGGAAAACTGTTTTTTTCTTACTTAAACATTTGAATTACTTCAATTAGAATAAGTCTATCCATATTTTTACTTTGTTTCACATAAAGAGTGAACGATTTGAGTCAAGTTTGCATTCCTTGCGTGATGTTTACCGTGTAGATTTGTCATCTAGTTCCTTCAAAAGCTGCTAAATATTGCATGAAAAGTAATCAACAAGGAGTTACTTTCAAACCACTTCGTGATTTATTTACATGGTTGGGCGTATAGGCGATCACTGAAGTGAMAAGCGAGTTTTAAATGAGCTCAATTTGAAAAAGTACTGAATATAGCCAGCACTTTTCAACACCTTTAGGGCACGAGTGTACCACACCAAAGTGAAGCTAGCATGAGATTCGCAGCCTGAGATTCAGATAGCCTGAGAATGAGATTCGTTTCCGGGGGGTACTCGCAAATTCTACTTTAAAAGTGTATTTGAAGTGAATAAAGGCCATTTTWAAAAAGAATAATGACGAATGATTGTAGATATTAGTTTGTATTTCGTCTCAAAGCAATTTACTTATAACAATACGTACGGCGAATTTCATGCGAAAGTCTATGTTCTCGGTCCAGCCTTAGATTCAAATGCCAGCCTGAGATTCGAATATCAGCCTGATCCATTCAAAGTTTCTGAAATACGCCTCGGCTTTAGATTCAAATGCCAGACTTACAGCAAACTCTCAGCTTTAGATTCGAAGCGACTCAAATAGACTCTAATTAACAAAGTCAATTAACTCAAACTATATCGGCCTCATCAATTCAAATTACCTGCAACTCCATATATCTCATGCCTAATACTCCATTTAAAATATCAGTTTGGACARCTTTTAAAATTATCAAACAGTATGGATTTAGCTTGAATGTACAGAGTCAATGTGTTATTTAATAGTGCCGGACACGACCTGTCACTATTAGAATATTATATCAGTTTAATTGCAGCATAACGCAATCTAAACAYTTGAACACAACGCGCCAGCCTGAGATTCCACTAAAATGTACGTAAATCTCTTTACTCAAATTGCCAGCCTGAGATTCGAATAAAAACTAAGTAAAACTCTTTACGCGACATCTCAGGCTTGGGTGCAAATAAAACTGTCCGCAGCACTTTGTTTTAAAGCAAAATAATTAAAATCTAAGATCGGCTATTATTATCATTTTCGTTTGTATGCTTTTGAATCTCAGGCTGAACTGTGAATCTAAGGCTGAAGGCCTAAAATGTCTAAATTCTTGTTGAATTTGTATTTTGTCGTGAAAATTGCATATATAGGGATCGTTAAAGGCGAGATCTAGACAATGGAAGGGTTTTGTTGATCATTTTCACGATATAATGGGATTTAAACTGTAATGGATGTCGGGGTGAGCTTACTGGCTAATCGGAATAAGAACACGGCGAGACACAAACGATATGATCTTGTTGATTCTTTATTCTCGTCAGAACATTATTTGGCTTACCTCTGTCAACAACAATAATCGATTATATATATRGTTTCGCAATGAAAATACAGTGTAGTTCAAGATCGTCGCTCGTAGTAGTTTTACATGAGGCACGGCCCATAATCACTAGATATTATATGTCAATRTATTACGTGACCTAATGTCACACAGTTACAATAATGAAAGAAAAGTGCTTGACCCCTCCGGAAACGAATCTCATTCTCAGGCTATGTGAATCTCAGGCTGCGAATGTCATGCTAGCTTCACTTTGGTACGAGTACACCCTGCTGTCAGGGTCTAGTTTTATAAGAACTGAATACTGTGGTTTTTTAAGTGGTAGGGAAACTCTAACCTTTGTATTTAGACTGTAAACTGAGTTGAACAGTTTTCCTGACTGGTTCTTTATTACAACTGTATTACAACTACTGAGCTCGCGCTCATACGACATAATAGTGTGGTGAATCACAAGAGGCTAAAGGCCTCAATGTACTATTTAATAACAAATTTACTTAACAGAATACAATAATAAAAACACATAAAAAGATCAAAATTGTCAATAGAAGAAATAATTGAAAGTATTGATTTACTAAACTGAACTATTGACGACACGGAATATCGGCTGTTTCTTGGTGTTGCAAGGCACCAAACTCACTAGTCTTTGATTGTATTTTTCCTCCTAGACAAATTTTCTCTCTGGTGCTGAATATGTTATTATGATTCTATATCACAAAGTACAGGGATTTATTGCTTTCCTTGCTTCTTTGCATGGTGTACATGATATAATGTATCTGCCTCTACAACAACCACTACTGGGACAGTGGGTCACTGGGACACTGACCCACTGACGCGGGACACTTGATTGCTTGCATTATGTATATTACATGTACCTACTTCTACAACAAACACTGGGACGGTGGGTCACTGGGACACTGGCCCACTGACCCGGGACACTGACCCACTGACCCGGGACACTTGATTGCCTGCATGAGGTATATTACATCTATCAACTTCCACAACAAACACTGGGACAGTGGGTCACTGGGACAGTGCAACAAGCCTCCCTCTTTTCCATTTGTGCTTTCCTCTGCTTCCTATTCCGTGTCCTCCATTGAGCTCAATACCTGCGCGCCCCTTCTTTCTTTCTTTCTCTACTCTCCCCTCCATTATCCACATCTATTTTTGTTATTCACATTTATCGTTTTCTGTTTTTTCCACTATTTATCAACATTCTGTCTTCTCCATTCATGTTTTGTCCTTTCTTCACTCCTCTACTCTTCCCTATAAAGTGAATTCTCACTCCTTCCTTTCTTACTTTTACTTAATATTTATTCTCACCCTTCATCTATTTATCCAGCTAATTATTTTCACCTTTTACTTCAGTATCTATTYCCTTTCATTCTTTTCTCGTCTCATTCTACTGTCATTCACCACCTTCGATATTTATACTTTATATCTCCTTTTGGCCATTTATTTATTTTATACATTTAATTATTTTTAGTCACTTTTTTCCTTTCCTTTTCTTTCCCTTTTCTTCCAACCACTCGCACAGACAACCTATCACCTACACAGAAAAAAGAGAGATCACCTTGTGTACCTTCATTTTAGACCAGAAGAATGGAAGACAGCCCAACAGATAAAAAGCGAAAGAAGTCTTTTGTGGACAAACTGAATC